AAGGTTCAGAAAAGGGCAACAAAAATTATTAGGGGTTTGGAACGGGTCCCATGTGAAGAGAGATTAAAAAGACTCGGACTTTTCAGCTTAGACAAGAGGAGACTTACAAGGGTGAAGGGGGATATGATAGAGGTCTATAAAATAATGACTGGTTTTGAAAAAGTAAATAAGGAAAAGTTATTTACTTATTCCCACAATATAAGAACTAGGGATCACCAAATGAAATTAATGGGCAGTAGGTTTAAAACAAACAAAAGGAAGTTTTTCTTCACTCAGCACACAGTTTAATCTGTGGAACTCCTTGCCAGAGGATGTGGTGAAGGCTAGGACTTTAACAGGGTTCAAAAAAGAGCTAAATAGATTAATGGAGGTTAGGTGCATCAATGGTTATTAGCCAGGAAGAGTAGGAATGGTGTCCCTAGCCTCTGTTTCTCTGGAGGTGGGTGACAGGATGGGGGTGAGAAGCTTGCTTTAAGGCATTTGTTTGACTCTTTAGAGCCAGGTTTTATTAACTTAAGAGAATTAAAAATAACATGCGTTTTCAGCCATTGTGGCTGCCAACACACTTTGGTTAACGGTTTGCTGCTTTTTAGCAATTTGCTGTGGAGTTATTTTCGTTTTCAGGTTAGTAACTTTTTTTCAGAAACACGACAGAGCCTCACACAGAGCTTGCACCAGCACAACCTTTTTCTATCCCTGGATGCCAGGGAGGCCTCCACCCACCCCTCAATGGCAGACCAATCCTGAAGATGCCTGGAGGGATCCATATAAGGATCTCCTCCCATTTCCCTACCAATCTGTTAATAAAATCCCTAACAGTGGTTGCAGTAAAGAGCCCATCAGACTTACCCATGGAGACAGGATGATCTGGCACAACTCTCCCCTGGGATCCTGTTCATAATGCCAGATGTTTGAGAAGAAACAGGCGGCAGAGGAGCAGATAGGGTTAATGGACTACTTTACTGTTGACGCACATTTACCTTGGACCCCCAACACAATGTTGTGAGTGGCAATGATTTGGCACCAGTTACTAAAATAAAGTCTATGTTAATTTGCCCATTTATTACTACTTTACATTAACCCTTATTTAGCTAAATTAACTTCCATACAATTAATATTAATAAGCAGGTGATGAATACAATTATACCTGCCCCTTTTTGTCATTTACTGGTTTTTAATTAAATTAGCATTACATACTGTTTTAATTAGCAGTTTGGGGTGGGGGGGCACAGCTTTGACCCTGCAAGTATTTTTGCAGAGCAAGTGTGAAGACTAAGCAAGACACTGTTCAGTGCAACTCTTTCTAGGCCGCAAGGACAAAAGGAAAAAAAGATGCTTAAAGGGCAATGCCTGCTCTAGCTAACCCCCCTGCTGCTGTTGTATTTTTTCCCCAAACAATTGTTTATTCTGGTAGTTTGGCTGTAACACAAGAGACCTACAGGCCACGTCCTGTATGTTGAGCAAGGCAAAGTTGTTAGTTTTGTGTGGGACCCTTCACCCAGAAAGCAGTTAGCTCACATCTGCTTGGGACCTTTTGCCCGGCTCCATGGCGGTGCAAGCGAGGGACTTTGCATGGCACAGGCGCACCCAAGAATGCCCTTGCGTTTCGCAGGAACATCGTTACTTAGAAAACCCAACATAACCAGTTGAGACCAGACTGAATAACTGGGTAGGACAGAAATTGTAAATGTGATCGAGAACCACAAAAGGCCCATGGTAATGAATTGACACGTGATAAGTTGAGATCAACGACATACTGACCTGCTGGAAAAAGACACGTCCCCATTAGCAAGGTGAGGAAATAAAAATGAGGGGAAAAGGAAACATCCCCTACTGAATATGCATCCAACATAATGTCAGGGTAACAGAATTCAAGTGGCATCCCAGCTAAGCGTGGTAGGAGAAGGGGATGGAGTCCGTGGGAGGTGCCAGAAAAAGGCCATTGGTGATGATGGGGAAGACGACAGTTAACACCTCAGATTATTCTAGGCCAGTGGTTCTCAAACTTTTTGGCCCATGGCCCACCTGGCTCAATGCAAACCTTTCCACAGGCCCCCAGTCACTGTTAATTACATAATTACGCCCAAGCCATTTTGCTAGTGCTGCAGCTAGGAAGAATGATTTAATGGAACCAGTAAGAAAGGAAATATTACATTATGAAACCGATTAAGCACCTGAACTTTCTCATGTTAATTTATCAAACGTCATTTAAATAAAGTAAAATATTAAGTCCAACACCAAAGGTTTTAATGTCTGCTAGTTTCACAAACACTCATTACCTTGACTGGACATTGGGCATCTGCTGCTCCAGGGGACTCTGACTGGCCTGCCATGTACAGACGGCTGCTTTCCTCTGGCTGCGGCTCAGCTTCTAATCAAAGGGCTCCCCTTTAGGAGTAGCAGATCTCCCAGGGCAGGGGCAGCACGGCCTCCTGAGCAGAGCCTGGAACCAGGAAGATGCTGGCTCCTCCCTAAGGGGCTGGCCAACATGCTCTCTTCCGGCCTGTTAGTCTACAGCAGGGGTGAGCAATAATTTTTGGTGGGGGGCTACTCCAAGAATTTGGAAAGTGGTCAAGGGCCACACTTCCAGGATACGAATAGAGGAAGTGTGAGGGTCTGGGATGGAGGTGGGGGTAAGGGACTGAGATGCAGGAGAGGATATTGGGATCTGGAAGGGAGTTTGGATGAAGAGGGGGTGTAACATGGAGCAGGGAACTGGGCTGCAGGAGAGGATTCTGAGCTGGAAGAGGGGTGCAGGGGTCAGAGGGGGGATGGCAGCTAGAGCTAGGAGGGGCTATAGGTGCAGGAGGTTTGGGTTCCATGGGGTAGAGGTGCAGGAGGCGGACAGAGGGGCTGGGATGCAAGAGGCAGGCTTTGGCCAGGAGGTGCTTACCTACATGGCTCCAAGCCAGCTGGTCCCTCAGCCAGGCTTCCTGCTGGCCCCCCTCCTGCATATGCGGGGCCACGTGCTGCTCTGAATACTGCGAGCCTGGGAGGGGAGAAGCTTCTCATGCTGGCCCGGCCCCCAGCACAACCTTGCAGCTCCCACTGGTCTGTTTCCAGCCAATAGGAGCGGTCTGTTGCCCTGGCAGTCGTCTTGTGCCTCAGTTTCCTCCTCTGGAACCACTGCAGCTCCTGCTCACACCTGCCCCCGCCGCTCACACCCTCCCCCAGTCACCCTGATCCAGCCCCCGCTGCCCAAGCCTCATCTCCGCTACTGCTTCTGCCCC